TTGGTCGCTGCCATCTCTCTGGAGGAAGGAGGCTGAGAAGAGCCGGTGTCCGCTGCTGGTTTACCCGGCGGAGAGGCGCTCTGTCCGGGCTGCGGCTGGGGGCGGTGGTGCTCGGAAGAAGCCAATGCGGGAGGGTCTGCAGGGTCCCGGGTCGAGAGGTTGCGGGTTGTTTACGGATGTTTGTGAGTGAAGTCATCAAGTAAACAACCTGAAATGTTTGTTTCCGGTTGGTGCTTCACGTGCGGACGGTGACAACTTGAACTTGAGCTGTGTCAGATCCTCAATGAGGATTCCCGGCTTTATAAAGACTCCTGCGTGACGTATATTTCCAAATATGGCCGGGAGGAAGCCCATATTTGGTCCGACGGGGAGCGTGCAGCCCGGCCGGTGCTCGGACGCTCCGGTGCTCTCTGCGCTCTTTGTGCTGCGGTTTCTGGAGCGTGAAGGATCCGGTACGGTCCGGACCGGGGTCGGGCTCGGCGGGTGTCCTCTGCGGGCCGGACTGCAGCCAGTAACCGGCGCACCGGGAGCTCAGCCAGCCGCCATGGCCGGAAACCCCGGAGACACGTCACAGCCAGAGCAGTTTTTCTGGGCTCGACGTCACATGGAGATCTTCCAGCGCGTCATCACTTCCTCCGGCCTTATTTGGGTGTTTCCTGTCAGACTGCTGACCCCAGGGCCCCGCCCCCTCCCGCAGCTCAAATATCGGAACTGTTCCAGAGTACGGAGGCCCGCGAGGGTCAGCGGTCAGATTGTATCTGTAATAAAGTATCCAGTTACTTTGATATTGTGATACTTACAAGGTAATTAGATTACTACAACAGATTACATCTATACAGTGACCCTCCCGACCCTGAATGGAATACAGTACAACTATAAAGTACTTCCATAAATGTAATTAGTTACTTTCACCAGATGTACTCTTTTTTAAAAGTAAAAGTACTTTGTAAGTGAGTACTTTAATCATATTTAGTAATCTGATTACTTGTTTTATCTTTACTGTCAAATAAAAACTATAATATTTGCTCCTGAAATGTAATCGGGCTGAGGGAGGAACTGATTACATGTAACTGAGTAACGGAATTAGGAGGCAAAATATGTAATCCATTACATTTACCCCCTGATGTCAACCACAGGGCAGTTGAGGGTTTATACTCACTGTGGCTGCAGTTGTTCTGACGGTGAGGAGCTGCAGCGCCGCCTGTTGATGGAACTGAGAATGAAGAATAACTGTTTCCTAATAATAAATAAAAACATTAACAGTTATAATATCAGCAGTTTCCGTTGTGTGTTTCTATCTTTCTCTAATCTTTAGTTTATAATAAAATCTCTTTAGCAGTTATTTTCCCATTCAGTTACTTTAGTGAAGAATTAATCATAACATAAAATGTGAATGAAAATGCTATCATATATTTTGAACATAAACATTTTGATTCAACATGATGAATTTATCTTATTTGGATGTGTTTAAATAACTGTATTCATTTATATTTTCATATTAATGTCGTCTATTTAACCTTTTGCTGCTTTCAGTTAGAATTATTTTATTCTTTAAGTCACATTCTTTCTTTGGACACCATTTCTGTATTGTTTGTATCCTGTTCCTAAATAATGTTTAAAAAACAACAAAAACACATTTATAAAGAAAAGTCTTTAAATCCATTAAACTGAAAGATTGGTCACAGATATTTGAATCTCTCCACAGACTCAACCACGGAGCAATTACTGGATTAATATAATAAATGATCAACATCGCTGTGTTTGACCATAAGGAGGGTTTGGAGGATGCGGGCATCGATCCCGCTACCTCTCGCATGCTAAGCGAGCGCTCTACCATCTGAGCTAATCCCCCGACGACTCCCGCTGCCGTCCATCTTTTTTTTAAAGAGACAGTACGAACAACTTTCATCCAATAACACGTTCCTCCACCTTCAGGACCGCATTTCTAGGACTCACCCACATACTGCTTCATCCAAACGCTTCTATAGAGAGCTGGACTGTGTTGGTGGATGATACAGCCTCACCTCGGCTCTCTGGCACCATCGAGGATCCGCTGTAACTCCACACAGCTTGTTCCATGTTCGTCCCATCTTGTTGACACAGCTTCAAAATGTCTCTACCCGTTGTTGTTCCCTTCAGACTTTAGACAGGCTAGCTGCTACTTGTTGCACCATCAGCTCTCTCAGTGCACCAGTAAAGGACTGTAGGTCTGCTGTTTGGATTCATTGTACACTTTCATTGCAGGTCAAACATTTCCTCTTAACGTCTGTGAATAAATATTCATTTTCCCACCGTGTCTGAAATGTTCTTCACTCACTATCTGGTGTTTCTTTGCTTTCACCTTCTTTAATGAATCCTTTAGAGAAGCTGCTGAGTGACAGACAGTAGCTCCACCTAGTGTTCAAACTAAGAAGTACAACAGAGTCAGGAGCAAGTTCAATGTGTGGGCCATATTCATTACATCATACAGACTGTGCTGCGGGCACATTTAATCTGCTGAGTTACTAAACTTCATTCATTTTAAAGGATTTATTGTTTTTACTTCTTATATTAATAATGTTATTTATTTCAGAGGAAACAACAGATAAAGTGGTAGAGGCAGAAGTTTCCAACCTTTACTATCACCGAATAAACTCGTGACTCCTGATTAAGCGACAGATTATTTCATATTCAATTAAAACGTTTTTCTATCGACTACTGCAACAGCATCGTGTACGGCACACCATCCAAAAGCTTAAATAAACTCCATCCAGAACTCTGCTGCTCGTCTGCTCACCCACACCAGCACCCGTGACCACATTACCCCTGTCCTCCAGAACCTCCACTGGCTCCGGTACCACAACGAATTCAGTTCAAAATCCTCCTCACACACACAAAGCCCTCCATAACCAGGCCCCTTCCTACCTCACTGCTCCACCTCCACAACCCATCCAGCAGCCTCCGCTCATCTGACGCAAACCTCCTGACTCCTCCACCCAGGACCAAGCACCGAACCTGGGGCAACAGAGCCTTCTCTGTAGCTGCCCCCTCCCTCTAGAACTCTCTCCCCAAACACATCCGTGACTGCACCGACCCTCCAACATTCAAATCACTGACAGAAACTCACCTTTTTAAAATGGCTTTTAATGTTTAGCTTAGTCCAATGTGTTTTCAGTGTTTTTACTATTTGATGATGTTTTCACTGCTTTTATGATTTTATGTAAAGTGTCTGAGTATTCAGAAAAGCGCTTACAACTAAAATGCATTATTATTATTATTATTATTATAAAACTGAACAATGAACCCAAACAGTGAAGTTCTTATATTCAGCTGATTAAACACTAATAAACATTCCTATGACTATTATATTAATGTGACACACTGGAGCTTTAAGTTACTTTTAATAATTGTCATATATTTATAGTATGTTACTCTATTCTTCCTGTAATGTAGTATATTCCTTATATTGTATATTCCACAGATATATTATTATAAGGCTTTTCTGATCTATTGTTGGTATTTATATTTACTCAAAGAATGGAGGAACACGTTGTTTCACTGGACGATGTCGGTGAGTCGATTATAGGAAACAGTTCGGTGTGAACAGACTAAAGCTGGAGGCTGACACACTGCTGACCTCATCTTACTGTCACACTGTCAAAATAAAACTAATCCAGGAAAGAAAAGTAAAGAGAGTTAAATCTAATCTTAATCCTTTAACATCACATCCTCAGTTATATTCTTATATTTAATAATGTCACCAATCATTTATTATCACCATACAAACACAACTTTATTATCACTGTACTAAGATGATAAGATATATACTTTATTATCTTTATATATATATATATATACACAATATGACTGTGGATGTGATCTTAAAAGGTTAAATTCTGTATTACACAATAATAACCTCATGTTGTGTGTTCACCTGCTTTATAAAGACCATGACAGAGTCCTGCAGCAAGAATAGAACAAAGCTGAGATGTGTCGGCATGTGGCAGCAGACTGCAGGAATACCAGCTGCATTTAGACTGTGAACACACACACACACACACACACACACACACACACACACACACACACACACTCAGGAATGCTGCTGGAAGTTTCCGGAGGGGTGTGTGTGCGTATATAAACAGCAGAGAGACAGGACATCAGACAGACAGACAGACAGACTCCAGAGTGAAGCTGCTGATCTGAAACCAGACCTCCACCATCAGGATGTTGTGTCCCAGCGTCTTCCAGCCGTCCCCCGTCACCATGAGGCCTTTCCTGGACCTGCACTGGCCCGTCCGCAGCCTGTGGCCCGAGACCCGGCCGCTCTTCTACCAGCTGGAGCAGGAGATGATCCGCCACATGCAGGAGATGAGGCAGAGCATGGAGTACATGGAGAGGCTGCACCAGAAGATCTTCGAGGAGATCGACCAGACCTCTTCCTCCATCGGGGTCTTCAAGCCCATCGCCTTCCAGGAGCTGGCGAGGGACGGCAGCAGCTTCGCCCTCAGCCTGGACACCACGGAGTTCTCCCCGGAGGAGCTGTCGGTCAAACAGGTGGGCAGGAAACTGAGGGTGAGCGGCAGGACGGAGAAGAAGAAGGAGGACGAGAAGGGCTCGTACTCGTACAGGTGTCAGGAGTTCAGGCAGGAGTTCGACCTGCCGGACGGCGTCGAGCCCGAGGCCGTCACCTGCTCGCTGGTGGGCGGCCGGCTGCAGATCCAGGCGCCCCGGGAGAGAGCGGTGAGCGACGGGAAGGAGAGGGTCGTCCCCATCAGCGTGGCCTCGGCCCCGGCTATCACCTCCTCCAGCGGGGGGCCGGAGGCGAGCAGCCAGAGTGACCTTTGACCTTTGTTGTAGTTTTATTACCTGATGGAGGGAACAGGAAGCTCTTTCTCTTTACCTGCACTTTGATTTTTAACTGTTTATAATAAACTTCTTGTTTCTTCAAGTTTTATTCATTTAGACTTTTTTTTCTCAGAATATGAAAAACATTCTGATATTTGTTTGTTTGAATAATGAACTGACTCTTTATTATTATTATTATTATTAACTGATTCAATAACTTTGTAATCTCATGTTCTCTTTAACGTCTGTTCCTCTTCAATAAAACTAATAATGACTTTAAACTTTGGACTCATTTATAAACTTAAGCTCCATAATAACTTTAACTTTTCTCATAAGCTTGTATTTTATAAAAAAGGGAGCTAACTAACAATGGCTGCAGATTAGTTAGGTACCATTAGCTACCTGAACATGTGACTGTATATGTCTGTTGTTCATCATAGATCAGATTAAAGTCATAAGAACCGACACATTTATGATTTATTCTAAGAGGAAACGATGTGTCTGTAGACCAGCAGTTGTCCGACCCTTGACGGGACTGATGGAAATAAACACAGGACACCAGTTTTCCCCTTTCTTTGTAAAATAATTCTCAATAAACTTAATTTATTCACAAACTGCTTTTCAAATTGCCATGTTGTCATTGTTCTTTTTTTTTAAATCACATACAATAAAAAACATTTCTAAAAGACAAGAGATGTCCGAGTCTCTCCGCTAACTTTGTACACGACTGCTCCTCCTCCGTCCTGAAGCTTCTTTTATTTTTTCAAACACGATGCGTTCATCGCCGACACCTCGTCACGCTCAGACATCAGATTAGAAATATTAAGAAAAAACAGCAGAAAATAATGAACAGAGGGACTAAAAATTTAACAGCTACAGTACACATTTCCTTTTCTTCTCCAGTAGGTTGTCTTTTCCTTTTTTTCTTTTTTGATTTACAGAATAATAGAATATGTTCAGTTAAGGCTTATGTTGGGATGGAGCAACAGAAACAAACCCCCAGACCGGGAGGGTGTGTGAGACTGTGGATCTGTGTGTGTGTGTGTGTGTGTGTGTGTGTGTGTGTGTATTATGGGGACACTGTGTGTGTGTGTGTGTGTGTATGTGTGTGTGTGTGTGTTTAGGGGACACTGTGTGTGTGTGTGTGTGTGTATTATGGGGACACTGTGTGTATTATGGGGACACTGTGTGTATTATGGGGCATGTGTGTATTATGGGGACACTGTGTGTGTGTGTGTGTGTGTGTGTTATGGGGACACTGTGTGTGTGTGTGTGTGTGTGTGTGTGTATTATGGGGACACTGTGTGTGTGTGTGTGTATTATGGGGACACTGTGTGTGTTACAGCAGTGGTTCTCAACCTGGGAGTCACCAAAGTTTCCTGGGGGGGCAGGGGGGCATGAGGCCTTTTTCATTTTACGGGGTTATAAGAAATCTATAGAAGAATTTATACATAATAGTTTATTTCAGCATTTTATTTATGTCTGTGAAAAAAATGTTGAGTTAATATTATTGTTTAAACTTCTATTATCTGCAGACCTGAACACAAACTCTATCCACTGTCTGCCTCGACGCTTTAGAAAAGTACAGTTACATTAATCAAAGAGAACGATGAGAAGGAAACACTGAATCTGTCTGCCTAATTAATCTGTACGATTGTTAAACATGTTAAAACATAATAATAATAATAATAATAATAATAAGTTCTGATGTTCTTCAATAATTGGGTGTTCAGTTATTCTCTTCTGGAAATGTTAAGCATTGAATATTAAAAAACCAAAACATATTAACATATAAATATAAAGGTTGGGAACCACTGTGTGTGTGTGTGTGTGTGTGTGTGTGTGTGTGTGTGTGTGTCTGTGTGTGTGTGTGTGTGTGTGTCTGTGTGTGTGTGTGTGTGTGTGTGTGTCTCTGTGTGTGTGTCTGTGTGTGTGTCTGTGTGTGTGTGTGTCTGTGTGTGTACTACAGGGCTGGAGTCAGGGTGTGGTTAGCCTAGCTTAGCATAAAGTCTGAACACAAACAGGAAGTCGACAGCGGCACTTTAAGTTAAACGCTAACATTAGCATGCTAACATTAGCATGCTAACATACTGCTGTTCAGCGTCTTCCATTAGCTAATAAGCAGCTAACCCAACCCCAGGAGCACCAGTCTGATGCTAAGCTAGGCTAACCACACCCTGACTCCAGCTTTAATCCAGAAGCTTTAGACGGATGAACTGTTCCTGAATCAGAGACGCAGTGAGAACTCAAACACAGCGGCGAGTTCGAACCCTCGGACATCGCGCTCGCTAACAACAACCTCCTCTTTCACAGAATTCATTCATTTGAAGATTGAAGAGTTTCTGCAGTCAGACATCAATAATCCATCAATAATCCATCAATAATCAATAATCCATCGCTGTCAGCGTTCACACTTTTATTCAGCGCCGGTTTGTGCTGCATTCAGGGACATTAGGACATCTGAGATCCGCCTGCTGAACCGAAATGACCGGACGTGGTTTTATAGAATTCTGCTGTTTGCTTGATGATTGTCTTTCTGAGTTTCTAATTTCACTCTTGCTGCTTTTTCGGGCAAGAGGGTCCCCGAACGCATCGCCGTAGGGTTTGTTTTCCACTGTACGGCCACGTGATGTATAAATAAGGTAATAACTTAAATACATCCTCCTCCTAAACGCCGACGGTGATGGATTATCTCACTGCAAGGAACCAAATGTCTGGAAAACAGATCAATCTGAAACCTGGTGGAGGATTGGAAATGATCCGCAGGAATGTGATTCTCAGTAGAAAAGCTAAAACGAGCCGCGTGGTCCTTTACGCCAACGACCGCACGGACTCAGTGACACGCTGTTTAAGAGACCTTAAACGTGCACTTCTTCTTCTGTTTGTGGGTTTCAAGTGAAAATTGGAGGAAAAAAATAAAAATCACATCGTAACCTGCGAGATTTCCCAAACACACATTCACTCCTGGAGGTTCTGGTCATCAGCATGGAGATTATATCCAGACAGAAATCTGATTCATCCAACAGTGTTAACACTGAAAGTTAACAGTGAATCATTTCTAATCTTATTGACTCATCATTTACTTTAAAGTACAGAAGAAGTCCACAGTGAGTGGGTGGATGTGAGGAGCTGCTTCGCTCTGTAACTCACTGATAGTGTTAGTGCTGTGGCGGCGAAGGAACGGCGCCGTGTGACTGATATTTTATTTTACGTTACTGTGTGTGTGTGTGTGTGTTCCCACCAAACGTCTCACAGCGGTGCTATGAGCCCGAGTTAAACAGATTTCTGTGATTTAAAGTCAATAAACAGATCAATATGATGCTGAGAAAACGACAGCATGATGGTGATTGATAAAATATCTGAATTCAGTCTTTGTTGGTCTGACAACTTTTAAAATGCTCGTTTTCTGAATGGAGTTTGGTTGATCGCTAACTTAGCTCATAGTGAAGTAAAACCGAAGGTTGTGCAGAATTCACAGGGATTGGTTGAATTTAGGATCAATGTCGGGTTCGTGATCTCAGTGTCAGTAAACGTCTCTGAACGCTCGCTTTCATCCACTGGACAGGTTTCACAATGAGCATAAAATATTAAATAGTTAGAAATTCAATCAGGACTCGATCTGGATTCAGTCTGGACACGTGACCAGCAGACACACACACACACACACACACACACACACAGACACACACACACACACACAGACACACACACACAGACACACACACACACACAGACACACAGAGACCAGGTGAGTGAATGAGCAGGTGTGTGTGAAGTGACAGGTGTGTGTGTGACAGGTGTGTGTGTGTGACAGGAATGTGGGAACACTCAGGTGAACAACAGCATCAGTGGCTACCTGCCCTCAGTGAGGCCTGACAGGGACACGCCTCCAAACAGCAGCGAACCTGAACGCATCACCACGCCCAGGTCACATGACCGTGACCTCAAGTGTTTTGCACAGGTGTGTGTGTGTGTGTGTGTGTGTGTGTGTGTGTGTGTGTTCAGGTTGAGTTTTATGAAGCTGCAGCAGGTAACTTTTATTTGCTTTATTTTATTTCATTATTGCTGAAACTTTAGATCATCTGGAAAAACCCGGTTCCTCTGGCTCCTCCTGGTGGTCCCGATCTACCACAATCCACCGGACCCCCCCGGAACCAATTATCCTGACTTTAATAGTTTAGTCCGTGAAAATTAAAATGGATCATTCCCACTAATGAATCACAAAGACGTCAATGAAGTTGTTGATGTCTGACTTAAAGGTTTGTCGTACCTGAAGCGCTGGCTGCAGGCGTGCTAACGTTAGCTGCAGCTTTGCTTTCAGGCTATCAAACATCAAGTCTTCAGCTTTTAGACATGTTTGTGTTTGCTCAGAGTGTGTGTGTGTGTGTGTGTGTGTGTGTGTGTGTGTGTGTGTGTGTGTGTGTGTGTGTGTGTGTGTGTGTGTGTGTGAGATGGGCGTGGCGATGGCGGCGGTTGGCGCTGCAGTGCGGCGGCGCCCTCATCAGGCTGTAGAGTGTTACAGAGAGACAGTAGCTGTGCGTTGGAAGACACCTGGACGCCGAGAAGCACCTGGACAGTCTGAGTCCAGCCTGAGGGCTTCACATACCTCGACTACGGCTCGTCAGCCTGAAGCTAGCAGAGCGGCTCGGAGGTAAGTGGAGCTCAGATCCAGGAGGGTTCAGAGAGTGCAGGGTCCTCAGGCGACCAGAGTTACTCTCTAAGAGACCCTCACGTGTTCAAAAGGAGGATTCGCACAGCCGAGTCTTCACCGGTGGTAGTCAGATCATCACTGTCGTCGTCAATCAGCTTTGTTTACCCCAGCTCATCCAATGAGAGAAGGTGTTGTTCCTGAGAGCCTTGCTGATTGGTGGCAAGGAGGAGTGTTGACGGTGGTCCAGGAAGAGGGGAGGGGTTCAGATCAATTCAAAACAAAACTAAATAAAAAAAAATAAAAAAAACAGAGAACAGCCTTCCATTTACAAATGCGTCAGTTTTCTTCTATTAAGTTCAAGTCGAGTTCTGTACAATCCCTCTCAAACACCGCCTGCTGCGCCGCCTCGCGCTCCTCCGCTTCCTCCTCCCCGTCGTCATCGTCATCGTCGTCGTCCTCGCGGCACTCCTCGTCGCTCTCGCTCAGCGGCCCGATGCTGGTCCTGCCCAGGCACTCGGCCGGCGAGCAGGAGCCCCGAAAGTCGCCCATGAAGGCCTCCATGCCCATGCAGACGTCACCGCCGCAGGCCAGCCTGCCGCCACCGCGCTCCAGACACTGCGGGTCGATGCTGCGCGTCTGCAGGAGGAAGAAATAAAAATCAGCATCAGCCGGGTTGAAGCTGACAAAAGAAACTATTTATAGATATTTTATCTAATATCGTGTTTCAATGCTTCAGAACAACACGTGTGTATAGTACAGTACTGTTGCTATGGTTACCGACAGTTTATTACAACCAAGGCTCGGTTCAATGTCAAACGTCAGGTCACACTACAGTTCAATTTACAATCAGAAAAACACCGTAAATATTTCCATGTGTTTAAGTTAGAGCTAGGGATGCACCGATCCACATTTTTTCACTTCCGATCCGATCCCGATACCTGAATTTGGATATCGGCCGATACCGATACTATTCCGATACCAGAGCTCTGTTTGCTTTAATATTATTATCATCATTATTGTTGATTTTATATGAGGCTGAAATAAACTCCTCTCAACAGGCAAGTATGATCTGTACGTATGTATGCATGTATGTCCCAAAAGGAAACTTGAGGTAAGTATAAGGTCAGAAAAGGAAGTCAGAAAAACAGGAAATCCTGTTAACAGGAAAAATCCCATTCTGAAAACAAATATGCAACTGTAAGGGTTTCAAACTGATTGTCATGTCAATATTTATTAAATTCCCAAAATGTCAAATATTTGAGTCTTGAAATATGAGAAAAGTGCAATAAGTGTAAACATCTTACACACACACACACACACACACACACGTTGTCTGCCTGGAGTTTACCTTGTTTCTGGAATGACTCCAGAAGTGATTCCTGACAGCTCGCCTAAAAAATCCTTGTGCTGTTTCGTGTGGTGCTTTTTTAAATGTTTGATTGCGTTCGTAGTGTTGTACGACGCGAGGCAGCTTCCGCGTCTCTGAATTACGGCTTTGCAAACATTGCATTTTGCTGTCTTGCTCTGTTTCCAGTGTAAAGTTGGAAATGCTGCTCAATGCTATCCTGCTAGCTGGCTACAAACTGCAGAATGGATTTCCTGAGCGGAGGCGTGTCTCATAACTCTGTGTGTCATTGAGCCGCGCCTCCGTTCAGGAAATCCATTCAGCAGTTTGCAGCCAGCTAGCAGACTGGCCGGCAGGAATCACCTGTGGAGTCATTTCAGCAGACAACGTTAAAGCGCAGACATGGATCATTGATATTGGAAATCTGCGCAGGTTGGATCGGTCCCGATACCGATACTGGATCGGATCGGCCCCATCCCTAGTTAGAGCTGCAACAATCAGTGGATTAATCAATTAGTTCTCAACTATTAATAAATAATTTCAGCAGATAAACGTCAACCAGGCGACTATCAGCCGATTGTCGGTGTGACCTTCTTATTTCAGCTGCTCATTATTCTTTGGTTTCTTTAGTCCTCTGTGACTGATTAATCTATTGATAGTTCATCTGATTAAATCAATTCAAACTCAATCTCTTCAGATGTTGTGTTTTCTCCGACCAACATCTCAGACGTTACAGAAGCACTTTTCTGCCGTACCTGAGTCATCTTGGTGAAGTCGAGGACGGGTCGGGCGCAGGGTCTGTCGGGGTCGCGGCGTCTCTTCAGTCCTGGTTTGAGCAGCAGCAGGTCGCAGGGCTGCGAGTGGCAGCGTGGCAGCTGCGGTGGCAGGCTGCGGCGCAGAGACGATGGCGTGCTGCAGGCCGAGGAGGGCGACGCAGGCACCGGGCCCCCCCGGGTCGCTCCGGCCACGGTGGAGCAGCCCGGTGGAGGCGGCGCCGCTTGGCTCGGCACAGGAGGCGGAGGCAGGAACGTGGAGGCTGCAGAGTCTCTGATGAGCACGGGGGAGAGGGAGAAACGCCTCTGAGGAGGGGGAGGTGGGTGGAGGGGGGAGGGTGAGGAGGAGCAGGATGAGGGGGAGGGGAAGAAGCAGCAGCAAGCTCCTCCCCCTGCCGCCGCCTCGCTGGGATCCCACGGGAAGCTCCAGGGCAGCGGGGAGTCCGGAGACAGCGCCAGGCTGAAGAAGGTGGGGCTGGATGAGGAGTGCAACGATGAGTTCAGGGAGGAGCTGGGAGCACGGAGAGGACAGGCTCCGCCCCCTACCGCACCTGCCCCTATACCCCCTCCTCCCACCCCTGCCCCCCCACCGGTGACCCCTCCCCCAGCTCCCCCGTGGCACTGCTGGCGACTGACAGGAGTCCAGACCCGTGAGGCGCTGGGCCGCCAGGTGTAGCGGCAGCGCGACAGGTCCTCGGGCACCGACAGAGAGCGACAGTGGCGTTTGGGGGGCGGGGGAGGAGGAGGAGGGGGCCCGGGGCCGGGAGGGGCCACCGGCCCTCCGGGGAGACACAGCTCGGACGCTGAGGTGCTGGGCGCCAGGGGCCGGTGCTGCTGCGGCTGAGAGGGGGCGCCGTCCAGGGGGTCGCCCCCCTCCTGTAGGTGGGCATCTGGGGGCACCAGGGGCACGGGGCCGGGGGGGAAACTAGAGCTCAGTAACCCCCCCTGCAGGCCGGACTTGGAGGGAGGGCAGAGCTGCCAGTAGCTGCTCTCTGAGGACGGACACACACACACACAAACAATAACGGTTACACTCTACGCTGACGACACGTTTCTATAGGTTTCTTTACTAAATGACTGTTGAGCTCCTTTAAACAGTATTATTGATTGATCGATTGATTGATTGATTTATTGATTTACAGCAGAGTGAGATTAATTTAATCTGAAACACTCACCAGGCATCAAGCCATCTGGGGGCCAGCACTCTGCGAGGGTTTTCGGGTCCAGCAGGGACTGAAAGACAAAACCAATCCTTATGTTACTACCAGTGGTGTAGTGGTCCCTGGAGAAGCAAATCATTCTCTTCCACACATCAAAACCAATCAGATAAACTCAAAAGTGCACTGTTGTAAAATTTGAATAAACACTATTTTAGCATAACTCATTAGACATATATAAATATCATATGATGATTGAACATTATCATTCAAATTATTCAACAAAACAATATGTAACAAGGAGGACGTTTGTAATTGTCAAATGAAATTTGTTGTTTGGATAGCTCGCTTCATCTTACCGGTTCATTAGAAATCTTAAAGGCAAATCATTTAAAGTAAACTTGTAAAAGTAAATTTGTCTTTAGCAATATTTACCTCGGCATTACCCGCCCTTCTCTGCCATCGATTGGCTCATTCGTCTCATGCCTAAAGTTAACCAATCTGATCAGTAAAGGCAGCGAGTACTAGCCAATTAGTGTTAGTAGCGTGGGTCATGGCTTCACCATCCTAGGGGGAAAATGGGCACTTTGGCTCGCAGATACTACTGAATGGTGCATCGGGGGGGTTTAGAAGTAGGTATACGCAATGCTGACTGAAAAAGTATACGCTGTATACCTGCTCATACCCTGGACTACACCAGTGGTTACTACCAATACAGACCTGCTAACGTTGGGAATGTATCTGTATGGATGATATTGATCAGTATACACTGTATCTTTATGGATGATATTGATCAGATTACACTGTATCTGTATGGATGATATTGATCAGTATACACTGTATGGATGATATTGATCAGTATACATTGTATCTGTATGGATGATATTGATCAGATTACACTGTATCTGTATGGATGATATTGATCAGTATACATTGTATCTGTATGGATGATATTGATCAGTATACACTGTATCTTTATGGATGATATTGATCAGTACACACTGTATCTTTATGGATGATATTGATCAGTATACACTGTATCTTTATAGATGATATTGATCCTGTATTGACAGTCAGACTGTGGACATATGACGGCCTTTAGCTCGTGTTTCTAGAGTTACGTGTTGTTACGAACACGTTAGGAATTGTTAAAATGTGATATTTCTTAAAGGGAGTTTGGTGCAGGGAGCTTTTAGTTGGATTCAAACTGCTGATATGGATCATTGTTAACGTTTAGTCTCCACTACAGAAAAACAAGGTAACACCGATCATAGCTCCAGACAGTCTTTTTATTCTGCCTTCATCATTTCAACACACTGCAAATCCTTATGAATTTTCTTTTCTCCAAATCTCTCCCCCCCTAATACACAGTCACCTAATTCGGTGCAGAACATTTCTGAGTTTCAAAGTTTCCTCAAATGCTGTCTTATATTACAGGAAATGTCCTGAATGCTACATTTGATGTAAATGTGTAGATATGACGTCTTAGTGACCCACAGACATTTGGTGTGATTTGGCCCATAGGTGGCGGCGTAGCACCATCATGTGACTTAGAGGCTGCAGGTGGAGGTGAGACTCACCAGGTAGAAGTCCCCTGGCTGAGCAGGGTCGCCTTCCAGAGTCTGCTTCCTCAGGTTCTCCACCAGCAGCGTGACCACAGCATGGTGGCAGGGGACGAGGGGGGAGATGGGGGAGGGAGGCGGGGAGGAGACAGGGAGAGAACGGGGAGGGGGAGAGAACGGGTAGGAGAAGGGAGGAGGAAGAGGGAGGGGAGAGCCACGCCGGTTTGTGCGTCTGTCCGTTTGGTCCGTTGCAGGAGGAGAGAGGGGAGGGGCTGAGGGTTGAGACTCCTCCTCCTCCTTACCACCTCAGGGCCAGGTAGCCCCGCCCACTCTCACAAGGACATTGTCAGTCAGCTGTTGCCCCCGGCAACGCACCTGGACAGGACGGAGATCGAGGTGTGAGTGTGGCGTCACGCATGTTCATTAAAACAGTCCAAGAGGGTCAAACTGTAGACAACGTTAGCAACGTTAGCATTGTGTGAAAAATAATCCAAGTCAGAGCTAACATTAAAGCTAAAGGAATCTTCTCCAATCGGCTAACATCAAGAAACTGACGACTACTTTAATTATCAGTTAATCTATTGATTGTCCTCATTAATTTAATTCATCTTTTGGTCTATAAAATATTTCTAAAGCCCCAAATGATGTTTGCAGATGTTTTATTTTGATTTATTTTAGGATAACTCGATTTATGAAACAGAAAAACAAAAACTCTGGACACCAGAAATCTTCACTTAAAACCTGACAAATTAATTAATTAATTATCCTCCAACTGATTAAACAATCTCTGCGTTATTGTCGGTGTAACGACGGAGTGCTAGAGTCGACTTCAATCTGTATCTCATCACACACACTGCAACTGTTAGAGGATGATGTTCAACACAATGCGAGTCAACCAACCGACAACCTCTGTGGCTGCAGTTCCTTTAACGGCCACTAGAGGCTGGCTCCAGCAGTGAGTCAGTCTCCGTAACTTTACAGCAGATATAAACACGTTTACAGCCTTACGGTCTCTTGAGCTAATTTCAACTGTACGTTCATACAACTCGCCTGTTTAAATGATATTAAGGATTAAAGTCATAATAATTAAGGTCGTGGCAGCTTTAAGTGCCTCTTTTTGGTTCAAATAGTTTGATTTTATTTCTTTGGTTGTTCTTTAGCAGCAACAGTTTAGAGAGGATATAACAGATATAAATGTAAATAAATAAAGCCATAACAGTTCTATTAATCATTATAAATGATGCAAAGATGTTAGAAACGAGGATTTATCGCATCTTTAACTTTTATCCTGGTGCTCCGATGCAAATGTGTGAATCTTTCCGTCACTACAGCAAACGATTATTCTCACTATCGATTCATTTAAATTAATGGTCAATAAAAACCAATGTCCAGGTGCAAGGTGCTGCCTTCTTATTCTAACAGTCCTAAACCCAAAGATCATTTCCATAAGAAAACCATAAAACCCTCACATCTGACAGGCTGAAATAAAATAGAATAATTTTATATTTTTGCTTGAAAAAGGGACAAAAATAAAAGATCTTCTGATCGCTGATCGATTATTAGACTCATGGTTTCAGATCTCAAACTTTATAGAGTGTGAGGCAGTGGTGAGGATCTGATCTGATGTCTGTAGTGAACAGGGTCCAGATGAACATGTGGTAACTGTGGTGAAATAATGGCACTCTGTTCAGTGAAGACAGGCAGTCCCTGGCAGCGGAGGCCTGATGTTGATTCTCTGCCAAACTAAAAGCTCTCTTTGACTCCGTTCCTATATTAACCAAGAGAGCCGTTAAAGCTCCAGCGTGTCACATTAATATAATATCCATTGGTATCATTAGTGTTCAATCAGCTGATGATAAAGTTGTGTGTTTGTACAGTGATAATAAAGTTAGAATATAACTGAGGGTCTTAAAGGGTTAAAACAACCACTCATTGGGAATTTACTGTATAACAAAATAAAGTTATATTTATATTTACTTGTTTATATATTTATTTATGTGAAGTTTATTTTTTATCCATATAGGGTTTTTAGTGTCGGTTCATATAGGAACTGAAGATTATTAAAATGAGAATTTTTCAAGATGATCTATAAAAATACTTCTAATAATAAATTTGACTTTTAAAAAAAAAGGTGTAGTGTGTACAATCTAGTGGCACCTCCCTCACATCACCCTCCCCTACCTACGGTGGCCGTTATCTAGCAGGGCTGCGTACGATAACTGTCACTGGAGTTATGATTCAATATATTGCGATACTGTAAGAAAGACAATATATTGTAATTTATTTTCATTTAAAACTAATTTTAGGAAAACTATCAAAGTCAGTTTCCTCCAGTGTGACGTAATAAAATGATTCTGAGTCAAAATAATGAAAAACATAAAATATTGACTGAATCATAAGTTCTTCATACTGAGTGAATATTTTAATTTATTCTGAAATTAGCTTGCACAGTAAAATGTAAAGAACCATTAAAGCTGAGTAAAAGAAGCGTTAACTTTCTTTACGCAACCAGTGAGATCCGACATTAAACATGGCGGTCCAACATGGCGGCTCCACCAGAGGGGGACCCTCTCTCTGTCCATACAAACAGCTGATTCAACATTAATGAACACTACAGACATCTTTCACATTTGGCCCTCATCACTTTCCGTACATTTGAAACTTGAGCTCTAAAAAGAGAAAGGAAATATCTCCAGCTGCTGCTAGCTTGTGGCTAACAGCTCCCATTGTTTTCAATGAGGGATGCTAACACACACACACACACACACATATAGCGGTGGTCCCGGACAGAGAGCACAATAAATGGGGATTGTTATTATTCAATTCTGACATAAACTTCGTGTAGAAAAATAAAATAATTGAGTTTGAGTTCGGAAGCAGCCGGTTACATCACCGAGCGAGCTAGCTCCTCACAGCTAGCTTAGCTATAAACAATATGTCATCTCGTTATTTCTCTCAAGGTCGGAACAATAAATTCAGCCATTTTCTCTCTGAATTAAAACCCCTGGCTGAAGACTGAGTCTCCCCCGCAGCAGAGCGGCCTCCCCCGGCTCCGGCTGCTCCGCTCCGCGGGTCTAACGGAGCTAACGGGAGCTAACGGAGCTAACGGGAGCTAACTGACCTGCCCAGCGTTAGCAGCGCTCGTTAGCAGCGGTAGCGGCGTTAGCAGCGGTAGCAGCGCTCGTTAGCAGCGGTAGCGGCGTTAGCAGCGGTAGCGGCGTTAGCAGCGGTGATTTCACAAACAAACCCGAATATCAGAAGAGATGTTCCCGCTCTCCGTCCCTCCTCCAGCAGTTAGCTCAGAGACATTATCTGTGAATACACCTGAACGCCTCGCAGGCGAACTCCCAGCCACAATCGCCGCTAGCGACCAACAATAACAGCGGAGATGAAGGGACGTGTGGCCGGCCTGTGAGCGCTCCGAGCCGCGTGAGAGGAGGAAAACACGGCGGGATGCTGCGGGATGCTGCGGGATGCTGCGGGACGCACCAGCGGTCATTCTGCTCACTCTCACCCGGCCGGCGGGCTTACCTTCTCGGACAGCAGCTCCCGGGTGTCCTGGTGAAGCGGCTCCGGTGGATGCAGCGGGCTGGCAGACAGCGGCGGTTCTCGGTGTATTGACCCAGTGTTATTAAAGCACCGCTCCGCCCGCCGCCGCCGCCGCCGCCGCTGTCAGCACCAAACACACCGCAATGAATTAAAGTCTGGATTCAACCGCACACAGCGGGCACCGCAGGGTCCGGGACCGACCTGCACATCGGCTGCAATCAATGTCTCTGATTATTAAAACATAATAATGAGGAATCTGCGTGCACACGCCCGTGAGCGGCAGCATTCATAAATAACATTTACGGTGTCAGCCGGAGGAGGAGGAGGAGGGGCGGTGCTTCACCTCAGCACCTGCTTTTATTCTCCCTTTTATTTCTATCACATCCTCATTACGACCAGCAGCGGATCACTCCAACGGAACACTTCACACAAATAAAAATTATTCAGTAAAAAGTGGGAGAATAACTCGCTGGTGCATTGTGGGAGTTGTAGTTTCCAGCCTGGTGACAGCAGCTTGTTTACAGCAGCAGGTCTGATGTGTCTGTCAGTCAGTCCTCGGGTTATTATTGAATGATGCAGAGCTGCAGGGTGTGAGACAGTGTGTGAGACAGGGTGTGAGACAGTGTGTGAGACAGTTAAAGGACAAACACACACACACTGATTATTTACTGTCAGTTCAGACTGAAGCTGTCCGGCTGCAGCAGCGCCCCCCGTGGACAGAGGAGACACCTGCACCCCCCCCGACAAGGGACACCTGCACCCCCCCCGTGGACAGAGGAGACACCTGCACCCCCCCCCACACACACTTTTACTCCAACACAGCTCAAATATTTAGGACCACAAATAATATCCAGTGCAGGCAGAGGTCACACGCAGAGGTCACACTGCTCCCTGTGACCCAGAGCTGTTCAGAACCAGAATCATTCTGGTCTCCAGCTGTTACACTGACTGATGCTAACATGCATATGTTGGACAATTAGCATCATTAGCATCAATACTGAGCAGCTGATTGGCTGATTGGGACAATAAAGGAGGTTTTGGGGTTATTGAGGAAGCTGAATCCATTTCTGACATTTTCTAAATATAAAAATGAGGTTTGAACCAGAAGTGAAAATATTTATTAGTTATTTATGTGATTAATAACTGCAGCAGCAAAGACAACATGTGAAGAACTTTTACGTCTGAACTTTCACATCAATGACTTTGATCTCAAAATGTAGGTTCAATGTATCAATCATATAAATAACCTCCAGATTAATTGATCTGTTCACTCAGTCCAACGTTGAATCCTTTCTAGATTAAACAGGATTGAACTGCAACAGTCAGTGAAAACAGCTCTGTGTGAGTTTATAACACTTTATTTACATCTTTATTAATCACATCTTTCAGCTTTGCTCTCGATATTCGAGCAGCACAAATATGACAACTTGAGAAACAGAAAAGTAAAAGAAAAGTCACAACAACACAAAGCGACAGCCGTTTCTCCTCCATTAATCGAGCTTTTTGTTTTTTAGAAAAAACATGGAGGTAGAGAGGGAGGAGCTGGAGCCTGATCCAGACAGACAGCAGAGCACGAAGGCGACGGCGGACCGACGGCGGACCGACGAGGCCGCAAAGTGACACCAAAAAACAGACGACAAATAAAGTGACTTCAAATACAAAAATAATAAACAGCAGCTTTTTTCCCCTTCAGTGCAGGATCATCAAAGTCAAACATGATGCAGGTGAGAAGTGCTCCATCGGACGCAGGGCAACATAAATATATATAAAGTGCAAACTATACAACCATGCTCAGGTCAGAGGTTCAGTGTCAGCCCTCAGGATGCGTTCAGGAGCAGCTGGTTCCTCTCGCCTCTCTTCAGCCCTCCTCCAGGAACAGACCCGAGGGCTGGCTCCGATCACATCCCTGCTGTCGTTATCTTAAAAAGACGAACGTACTGGCACACACACACACACACACACACACACGCACACACGCACACACACACACACACACTAAACGAGGTGCAGGTGAAGACGGCTGAACCTCGTGGGCTTCAGACCGGCAGACGTTGGATCAGTACGGGTTCCACAGGAGCTGGTCAGAGAAGACCGGAACCTGCTGGTCATCAGAGCCGAAGTCTACCAGAAGAACCAGAAGAGAACCCGTCAGACAGAACCTCAGTACCACTGCTCTCCACCACATAGCTAGTTAGTTGGTGTCTGAGCGTCCTACTGCCGCTACTGTTTCTACGGTAACACCTGACCTGTGACCTCACCTCGGCCGTCGTCGGCCTCCAGCAGGAGGCGCAGCCAGTCGGTCATGTTGTCGTCGGTGGTCAGCTGACTCCTGAAGGAGTAGCTCAGGCCGGGGGGAGAGCGCAGAGGCCTGTGGCCCCCATCGGCCTCCTGACAGGAAGAAGGTTTAGATAGAAACACATCGACGCCATTAACTGATCTGGGAGCAGCCGTCGGATCATTCAGTGCGATTACCGGTGAGAGCGGGCTGGTCCAGGGTCCAGGCAGCTCCAGCGACGTCACGGCCGACAGAGGAGACACAGAGGAGGCTTTAGAGGCTGCTGGAGCCTCCTTCTCTCTCTGCTTGTCTCCTCCGTCCTCACACAGGTCAGAGGTCATCTTGGCCAGCTGGCTCTGCCTACAAAGACCACAAAGCTCATTTTACCACCAGGAGTCGTTCAAAGGAGGCTCATCAACGCTCAGCTGACGTCATGAATAACCGCTCGGGTCACAGCGTCCACCTACAGTTGCTCCACTGGGTCCCGTGTGTCAGCGGTGTCCGGCTGCGAGTCGGTCGGGGGGTCCCACAGGTGCAGCGCTCGCCTCCACAGACGCACCTGCATGTCCCAGGAGCGCCGGCTGTACTTCCTGTACTTGTTGGGAGTGGACGGGTGGAGCTTAGGATCCCTCAGGTGTCTGAGGAAGAGGAGGGAGCAGAGTTAGAGAGCAGATCACCTCCGATACACTTCCATTAATCTAAAGCCGCAAGGGGAGGGGGGCCCACACACCACAAACACACACACACAGAGAACACACAACACACACACACACACACACAGGAACACACAGGACACACAAAAGACACACACACACACACACAGAAACACACACACACACACAAAGAGACACACACACACACACACAGAGAACACACAGAAGAACACACACACACACACACAAGAGAACACACAAGAACACACACACACACACACAACACACGAGAAACACACACACACACACACAAAACACACAGAGAGAGACACACACACACACACACACACAGAAGACACACAGAGAGAGACACACACACACACACACACACACACCTTACTGATGGTTTGAGGATTTATGTTTTACAACCGTCTTTGTAGCGCCCCCTACTGACTCTGTATTCAGTCTTTATTCCAAAAACAGAATTGTGTGTTTTTTATATTGATATAAAACAAGCTCACAGGACAGATTAGATTTATTATAATTTATATATAAATATATATATATATATATATATATTTATATATATATATATTTTTTTTTTTTTTTTTTTTTTTTTTTTTTTTTTTTTTTTTTTTTATATATATATTTTAGACATCATGCGGTGGGACAGGAAGTTCCTCTTTCTGGTCTTCAGAGCTCTTTTACTCTACAGTCAGTGGTTCAGCATCAGGAGCAGTTTGGGGTTCAGTATCTTGCTCAAGGACACTTCAACCTGCAGTGGGAGGAGCCGGGGATCGAACCACCAACCTTCTGATCAGTGGACGACCCGCTCTTCCTCCTGAGACACTGCCGTCAGCCGTCAGCCGTCAGCGAAGAACGGCAGGAAGTGTTTTTCCTTCTGCAGCATTTCAAATTTAAAGTGTTGTTGCTAATAAATGCTAACATGCTAACACCAACATTTATTGGGAACAAATGTGTCAGCGCCATTCAGTCCTCTGAGGAAGAGGAGGAGGAGGAGGAGGAGGAGGAGGAGGAGGAGGAGGAGGAAGGAAGGAAGGAAGGAGGAGGAGGAGGAGGAGGAGGAGAGGGAGGAGGAAGGAGGAAGAGGAGGGGGGGAGGAGGAAGAGGAGGGAGGAAGGAGGGAGGAAGAGGAGGGAGGATGGAAGGAGGAAGAGGAGGGAGGATGGAAGGAGGAAGAGGAGGGAGGATGGAAGGAGGAGGAGGAGGGAGGATGGGAGGAAGAGGAGGGAGGATGGAAGGAGGAAGAGGAGCAGTAGAGGAGGAGGGAGGATGGAAGGAGGAAGAGGATTCTCACCTGGGGACCTGCTGCAGGTAGTTCTGGTAGCCGCTGGTGTTCTTGCCGTACTGGATCTGTTTCTGCCGCCGCTTGAGGACGGCGGTGTTGGTCTCGGTGTTGACCGGGTCCGGCAGACGGGGGTAGCAGCGACCGAGGGGGGGCCTGCAGAACACCAGAGTGATTCCACCAAACTGCTTCAGTAATCAATAATCAATAATCAATCATTTTAATACGTTTGTTTTCAACCTCTTGCCGTCCAGATCGTCCGTCCCCACCGCCACGCTGCTGGTCGACACTTTGAGGATACAACGCTCCAGGATGGACGGCCTGAGGACCGATAACGGATCAATAACAGATCAATAACGGATCAATCACCACGTTTAGTTTCAGGTTCAATGTGGCGGCAAAGAAGAACTTTACTTTATGCTAAGCTAACCAGCTGCAGACTACCTGCGCGGTTTGTTGCCGGCGGCTCTCTCTCGTCCTCGCGGGCCGCTGGCTGCAGGAGGCGACGGGATCGGAGAGACGTTGCTGCGAACAGGAAGTAGAATCCTATTTTATTCCACTTATTGATCACCGATCAATCAATCAATCAATCAATCAATCAATCAATCAACCAACCAACCAACCACTGAACGTTAGCATCAGTGTCTCTTAAGGAACCTGACAGTAGCTCCTTTGTTTTGAGCTCCAGGTGTTTCTCACCTGACCAGGCTGTCGTAGACGGAGCTGCAGCCGGGGAGGAGCCACGGCTCGGGGGCGGAGCATCCAGAGGCGGCGGCGGCGGCCAGCAGCGGGTCGGGGAGCCCGTTCCACATCGCCGCCGACCAGCCCTTCACGCAGACACACGACCACGGGCTGAAACAGAAACTGGAGACGGAAACTCAGTTTACAGTCTCTATGCTAAGCTAACCAGCCGTTTCCAGACATTATGCTAAGCTAACCAGCCGTTTCCAGACATTATGCCAAGCTAACCAGCCGTTTCCAGTCTTTATGCTAAGCTAACCAGCCGTTTCCAGACATTATGCTAAGCTATAACCGTTTCCAGACATTATGCTAAGCTAACCAGCCATTTCCAGACATTATGCTAAGCTAACCAGCCGTTTCCAGACATTATGCTAAGCTAACCAGCCGTTTCCAGACATTATGCTAAGCTAACCAGCCGTTTCCAGTCTTTATGCTAAGCTAACCAGCCGTTTCCAGTCTTTATGCTAAGCTAACCAGCCGTTTCCAGTCTTTATGCTAAGCTAACCAGCCGTTTCCAGACATTATGCTAAACTAACCAGCCGTTTCCAGACATTATTCTAAGCTAACCAGCCGTTTCCAGTCTTTATGCTAAGCTAACCAGCCGTTTCCAGACATTATGCTGAGCTAACCAGCCGTTTCCAGTCTTTATGCTAAGCTAACCAGCCGTTTCCAGTCTTTATGCTAAGCTAACCAGCCGTTTCCAGACATTATGCTAAGCTAACCAGCCGTTTCCAGACATTATGCTAAGCTAACCAGCCGTTTCCAGTCATTATGCTAAGCTAACCAGCCGTTTCCAGACATTATGCTAAACTAACCAGCCGTTTCCAGACATTATTCTAAGCTAACCAGCCGTTTCCAGTCTTTATGCTAAGCTAACCAGCCGTTTCCAGACATTATGCTGAGCTAACCAGCCGTTTCCAGTCTTTATGCTAAGCTAACCAGCCGTTTCCAGTCTTTATGCTAAGCTAACCAGCCGTTTCCAGACATTATGCTAAGCTAACCAGCCGTTTCCAGACATTATGCTAAGCTAACCAGCCGTTTCCAGTCTTTATGCTAAGCTAACCAGCCGTTTCCAGACATTATGCTAAGCTAACCAGCCGTTTCCAGACATTATGCTAAGCTAACCAGCCGTTTCCAGACTTTATGCTAAGCTAACCAGCCGTTTCCAGTCTTTATGCTAAGCTAACAGCCGTTTCCAGTCTTTATGCTAAGCTAACCAGCCGTTTCCAGACATTATGCTAAGCTAACCAGCCGTTTCCAGACATTATGCTAAGCTAACCAGCCGTTTCCAGTCTTTATGCTAAGCTAACCAGCCGTTTCCAGTCTTTATGCTAAGCTAACCAGCCGTTTCCAGTCTTTATGCTAAGCTAACCAGCCGTTTCCAGTCTTTATGCTAAGCTAACCAGCCGTTTCCAGTCTTTATGCTAAGCAACCAGCCGTTTCCAGTCTTTATGCTAAGCTAACCAGCCGTTTCCAGTCTTTATGCTAAGCTAACCAGCCGTTTCCAGTCTTTATGCTAAGCTAACCAGCCGTTTCCAGTCTTTATGCTAAGCTAAACTTTGAGTTTGTTTCTGAGTGAAGCAGATTAAACATTCATAGGTTACTTTATTGTGAAAATCTGTCATATCTTCAGTTTTATATCATCAACAACAATAATAACACATTTGATAGAAATCTTTTTAAAGTAATAATATATATATTTATTTATTTATTTATTTAGTAAACATTTAACAGCCATGAGAGTTTAAATCTGTTATCAATAATCTAAAGTTCAATATAGAAAAATATTACAAAATAAAAGCTAATACTTCCTGTTAATACTTCATAATAAAAGCTGGGCTGTTACCTAAACTGGGGAGTTTTTATTGTGAAAAGCAGCTTCTACAGGAAGTGTGAAGTTTAGTTTGAAATTTACTTTAAATTCTACTTTATTATTTTAAATTTAGCCAATCAAACTGTTATTGGTAATAATCTGGTAATCAATGCGACCTGATCGATAACTACTGTGCGTTATTAACTACAGGACGTCTTTTAGGACAATATTCACTATAAGCATTAATCTAAACACGGCTGCAGTTCGCGGGCTTTCAGCCCTGAGGGGAGTCTGCAGGCACGAGCCTGAGAGGCGACATCCGGGGCACTGAAAGCCCCACGCCGCACGCTAATTAACGCACGGTGACACCTGAACGCACCATCAGAACCTGAACGCACCATCAGAACCTGAACGCACCATCAGAACCTGAACGCACCATCAGAACCTGAACCTGAACGCACCATCAGAACCTGAACCTGAACGCACCATCAGAACCTGAACCTGAACGCACCATCAGAACCTGAACGCACCATCAGAACCTGAACGCACCATCAGAACATCAAGACATTTTAAATCAGCTCTTCTTCGTTGGTTTCTGATTTCAGAGAGTCAATCAAACGACAGACAGGTGTGTGTTTCTCCCGGTCTGGCCCGGCTCTGACCCGGTCTGACCCGGTCTGCCGGTCTGACCCGCTCTGACCCGGTCTGGGTGTACCTGCTGCGGTTACCTGTTGGAGAGCAGCGGGCTCTGAGCTGCTGTTTCCGCTCCGCTGCTCGACATCTTTAATCTGCAGTTTGAGTTTGGCGCCTTCTCTTCAGACGGACAGACGCCATTGTTCCACTTTCACAGCTTTTTAATGAGCGCACCTGCGAGGGGGCGGGGCCTGCCTCACCTGGACTGCATCCGGTCCGGCGGAGGATGACGTAACAGAAGTCACATGTCCTGTTACAGCAGGTGGGCACAACACAGGTTCAAATAAAAGTCAATATATTATAATATTTTATAATATATTATAATATATATTATAATATATATATTATATTATATATATATTATATATATTATAATATATATAATATATATAATATATAATATATATTATAATATATTATAAAATATATATAATATATATATTATATATATTTTATATATATAATATATATTATAATATATATAGTATAATATATATTATAATATATTATATATTAAATATAATATATAATATATATTATATATATAAAATATATATATTATATTTTATATAATATATGATATTATATCTGATATATGATATTATATCCTATTAATATATTATAATATTAATATATTAAATGTCTTAAATATAAATATAACAATTCTAAAGCATCTTTTTTACACTGAAATCAAACAACACATTAAATTATATTAAAGTGTTTATTGACATCTTGTTTGTAAACACAGTGTAAAGGTAGAAGAATTAAATATTACCACATTACACTGAATAATACTCATTATCCACGAAGTAACTAAATACATTTACTCAATTCTAAGGTACTTTATTGGAGTATTTGTAGTTTCCTTTTTACTTCACTACATTTATTTATTAGACAAGTTACTTTGTCTGTATTAATAATGGAAAATATATATTTTAAAGTCTTATTCTAGATTACTACATGAAGAAATATTGATCCTCAACCGACCAATATGACCACATTAAAGAGGAACTTGGCAACTCTTGCCATTTCTTCGCTGGTTTTCACTTTTGTCGTCGCATGTTTTCTCAACGAGCTCCCCCTACAGTTCTGGGACTAGGGCTGCAACAACTAATCAATTAAATCGATTAAAATCGAAATAGTTGGCGAATAATTTAGTCATCAATTTGTTGGATCGTGTGTAGCTCACGTGACGACGCAGTCTACCTTGCCTGGAGCAAACATTTGAAAGAGTGCGACGACTTCATTTGTTGTGTTGTTTGGGTCGTAATACGCGTTCACGAGTTCAGCACGCCAGCTCTTTTGTTTGAGTGTCCCTTTGTTGCAGCTCGGGGCTGATAATGTGTCTCCGGCAGATTTGACTCTGTATTGATGGAGAAAACGCGCGGCTAACAAAATTCGAAATAAACGTAACGGACAGAAATATATCGGGTTTGTTTCATAATGGATCAATGTAGCCGGGCCACCAATAAAGCTATTTAAATGTATTTAGGTTGGAGAGACACTTTGGTATAACTAACGTTATGGAGTTTCTGGAATATATCTTGGTAGTCTAAAGTGAATCCTTTACTACTTCACAACAGAAACCTGAACAATATCTGATCCAATAACAATATAACAACAATAACAATATCTGATTAGTTACATTTCCATTTTATTGCTGGTGAATGAATTTAACAAACAAACATAAAATAAATTATAGTAATAATTAAATCTATAAAATGCTCTTCAGTTTGTAGCTGAACGGTTTTTAACAGTTAACAAAAACACAATATATATAGGTTTTGACAAATTTCACATAGCAGGCCTTTCCATTTGTTCTCAAAACAAAAACCTGTTCAAGTCTTCAGTTTAAAAAAGGGAAGTGATTTATCTGAAGAACAGTTTAAATAAAACCGTTCAGCTACAAACTGAAGTGCACTTTATACATTTTATTATTATTATTATTCATTTTATATTCATTTGGCTCCTTTTTAAATGGAAGACTTTAAAAGATTTTCCAACTGAACAGGGACGCTGGGGGGGGGGCAGTCACCATTAACACCGGAACAGACCATTTAACCATCCAAAGGATTTCTGAACGGGTTTATTAAGTTGAAATAGTTGCCAAGTTCCCCTTTAATGTATCAATATTTATAATCCAACAATATAATAATAAACCTTTAAAACTGACTGTATTTTATATGTATTTAATATTCTATTGATCAATATCAATAACAGCAGAGAACAGATGATAAACCAAACAGTGATTATTATTGATTATTTCCTGTGAATATTGTTCACATAATGCTTATACACTGATAAACAACATTTATTCAACTTCCATCATTATACAAGAGTTTAATACATTAAACTTACACAACTAATACTGTTTACTAGTAATGTCACTAATTTTATATAATTTTATAAATTATTACAGTATTAAACTTGAATTCAACAGTTTAATTTATTAAATAAAAAGTAAATATCAGCGAAAAAATTATAGCAAATATATTTTAATAGTTTATGTGAAAAAAGTAAAATTTTCTTTTAATAAGCAGTAACTTTATGATTATTTACATTTACTGATTTTTCATGTTATTTGACATCAGACCTGTAAATTCACAGGATCATTTTGTCATTTTATTAACATTAAAACATCTGTAAAATAAGTGAAACAAAAACATAAACATACAGATTTATTTTACAGTCTAGAGACAACGTTCACATCTTTCATATCTTAAATAATAATCTAAACTTTAAAAATAACTTTATTTATAAATAAATAAATGCTGAGATATAGGCCAACTGTTGTGTGTATATAATTATATAGTATATACAGTTATAGATATAGTTATACACTGAACAAAATTATAGATGCAACACTAGTTTTTGCCCCCATTCATCATGAGCTGAACTCAAAGATCTAAGACTTTCTCTATGTACACAAAAGGCCTATTTCTCTCAAATATTGTTCACAAATCTGTCAAAATCTGTGTTAGTGAGCATAATATATAATAATCCATCCACCTCACAGGTGTGGCATATCAAGATGCTGATCAGACAGCATGGGTATTGCACAGGTGTGCCTTAGGCTGGCCACAATAAAAGGCCACTCCAAAATGTGCAGTTCCCTCACACAGCACAATGCCACAGATGTCGCAAGTTTTGAGGGAGCATGCAGTTGGCATGCTGACTGCAGGAATGTCCACCAGAGCTGTTGCCCGTGAATTGAATGTTCATTTTCTCTACCATAATTTCAGAGAATTTGGCAGTACACCCAACCGGCCTCACAACCGCAGACCACGTGTAACTGCACCAGCCCAGGACCTCCACATCCAGCATCTTCACCTCCAAGATCGTCTGAGACCAGCCACCCGGACAGCTGCTGCAACAATCGGTTTGCATAACCAAAGAATTTCTGCACAAACTGTCAGGAACCGTCTCAGGGAAGCTCATCTGCATGCTCGTCATCCTCATCGGGGTCTCGACCTGACTGCAGTTCGTCGCCGTAACCGACTTGAGTGGGCAAATGTTCACATTGAATGGCGTCTGGCACTTTGAAGAGGTGTTCTCTTCATGGATGAATCCCGGTTTTCACTGTACAGATGGCAGACAGCGTATATGGCGTCGTGTGGATGAGCGGTTTGCTGATGTCAACGTTGTGGATCGAGTGGCCCATGGTGGCGGTGGGGTTATGGTATGGACAGGCGTGTGTTATGGACAACGAACACAGGTGCATTTTATTGACGGCATTTTGAATGCACAGAGATACCGTGACGAGATCCTGAGGCCCGTTGTTGTGCCATTCATCCACGACCATCACCTCATGTTGCAGCATAATAATGTACGGCCCCATGTTGCAAGGATCTGTACACGGATGTGTTGCACTGCGTGAGGCAAATGGTGGTCACACCTGATACTGACTGGTTTCTGGACCCCCCAGACCCCCCAAATCGGGTGTAACTGCACATTTTCGAGTGGCCTTTTATCGTGGCCAGCCTAAGGCACACCTGTGCAATACCCATGCTGTCTGATCAGCATCTTGATATGCCACACCTGTGAGGTGGATGGATTATTATATATTATGCTCACTAACACAGATTTTGACAGATTTGTGAACAATATTTGAGAGAAATAGGCCTTTTGTGTACATAGAGAAAGTCTTAGATCTTTGAGTTCAGCTCATGATGAATGGGGACAATCTAATCCAATCCACTTTAATAGCATGATTTTAACAAACACAAGGTTTCCAAAGTGCTGCACAAAAAGATTCAATGTTCAATTCACTGTTATTTGTATAGCGCCAATTCATAACAGCTTTTCAAATAGAGCAGGTCTAGACCGAACTCTTTATAACATTAATTACAGAGACCCAACAGTACCACCATGAGCAAGACCTTGGAGACAAGGGCAAGGAAACACTGCCTGTTAAAAGGCAGAAACCTAGGACAGATCCTTCGGCTCTAGGTGGGTGGTCGTCTGTCTCGACCAGTTGGGGTGAGAGAGAGAGAGAGAGAGAGAGAGACAGAGACAGAGAGAGACAGACTGTTGGACTATTCAGGGTCTCCACTCCTCAACCTTTGAGCTGAAGAGTGGAAACCCTGAGTTCATGAAATCTATCAAAGACGTTGATATCATTGTATTGACAGAAACATGGTGTCAAGATGATTTGCTCACTCACTGTCCTGCAGGATATAATGAAGTCATGGTGCCCTCCATAAAACTAAAAAACATACGCAAGGGCAGAACATCGGGGGGGATTTTGGTGTGGTTTAAAGGAGATAATTGCAATCAGATCTCACCAGTAAAACAGAGTAAATCGCACATTTGGTTGAGGTTAGATCAAACCCTAGGCATAACCGATAGGGATCTATACCTCTGTGCAATTTACATACCCCCAGTGGATTCTCCTTATTTTGAAGAGGACATTTTTGACACCGTAAATTCAGAAATTGCCTATTTCCAGGCCCAGGGAAATGTACTTCTAACTGGAGTTCTGAATGGACGTACAGGAATTGAACCTGATATAATTGACACACAGGGCAACAACCATGTATTCGGTCAGGCCCCCCTCTTTACCACACCAAACATCACCCATTGGAATAAACTTGACTCAATATTAAATCAAAGTGGCAGGGAGATCTCTGTCGGGCCTTAGGCCTGTACACAGTTAATGGTAGGTTCAGAGGGGACTCTTTAGGGAGGTTCACAGACTCCTCAGCTCTTGGGTCTAGTGTTGTAGACTATTCAATTACTGACATGGACCCCTCAACTATCAGTGCATTCACTGTCAGACAGCAATCCCCCCTTTCAGACCACAACCAAATTAATGTGTTCTTTAAATTGTCAGGACAAATTAGTGACACAAAAAGGGAACCCAGTAAGCTGTATAAATTAAATCCTTCTTACAGATGGGCCTCAGACAGTGGAGACAAATTCATCAAGGCTTTGAACTCCCCTGATCTGATGAATTACATATCAATATATAATCAAAATCAATATGTCCCTACCAGAGATGGGGTAAACAAGGCCATTGAGGATATCCATATGATATTTCATAAGGCAGCTATTAGGGCTGACTTCATAAAGCAAAGAGCAAAGATGGAGGCCTATTAAAAGGCAAAATACTGACAAGGTTTGATCAAGAATGCAAAACAATCAGAAAAGAGCTGAGAAAAATAGCAAATGAGAAACATCACCAACCGAACAACCCAGCCCTGCGCATTCGATACAATGACATTTTAAATACATATAAATACATAATTAGGATCAAAAAACAAAATTATACCCAATTGAAGATACTGAGAATGCCATTAACCAAAATCAATTCTGGGATATGTGAAACAAGTTCAACACAAAGCAACAGCAGACATTACCCATCCAAAACGGTGACATCTGGAGATCACATTTTGAAAATCTGTACAAAGACATACCAATCAATCAAATTAATTCAGATCAGTGTATTATGAAAGAAAAACTCCAAAAACTAGAAGAAACAATTAAAGACAACCAAAACCCCCTTGATTTAGAAATTACTTGGGAAGAAATAACCACACAGACAATATGTCTGAAGCCAAGGAAAGCTTGTGGTCCAGACAGCATTAGAAACGAAATGCTCAAAAGCAGCACCCCAGAAATGCAGGGTGCAATGTTACATTTGTTCAATGTTATACTACAGGCAGGATGTTTTCCCAACATCTGGTGCACAGGGCTCATTTCCCCCATTCATAAGAGTGGGGACAAATCAGACCCTAATAACTACCGTGGCATCTGTGTCAGCAGCTGTCTAGGTAAACTATTCTGTAGTATTCTTAATACAAGAATACGAGATTTCCTTGAGGATCTAACTACTAAGAATGGAAAAATATTCACCTGCTTTATTGATTTCAAGAAAGATTTCGACTCTATTTGGCAGGAAGGGCTCTATTACAGACTTTTAAACTGTGGTATAGGTGGCAAAATGTATGATCTGGTTAAATCAAAGTATTTGGAAAACGTGTGTGCTGTTAAAATTGGAGACAAACTAACTGATTTCTTCCCTCAGAGAAGAGGTGGCAGGGTTGCAGTCTAAGTCCGGCTTTATTTAACGTGTATATAAATGAACTGGCTGTTGAGTTAGATAAATGTGCTGCTCCGGGCCTCTCCCTCCTAGATAGAGAGGTGAAGTCTCTGTTTTATGCTGATGACCTTGTTCTACTGTCTCCTACTGAACAAGGACTACAGCTACAGCTGGACGTAGTAGAAAAGTACTGTCAGAACTGGGCCCTGGCAGTAAACATGAAGAAAACCAATGTCATGATCTTTCAAAAACGCCCCAGGTGTCATGAGAACAAACACCAATTTACCATCAATAATCATGTCATTGAACACAGCATGAGTTATACCTACCTTGGTATAACCATAACAGCATCAGGGAGTTTCAACATGGCAGTGAATGCACTAAAAGAAAAAGCTCAAAGAGCTCTATATGCAATTAGGGGAACATTTTATAATTTCCATATTCCAATAAAAATCTGGCTTAAAATATTTGATAGTGTCATCCAGCCCATTGCGCTGTACGGTAGTGAAGTATGGGGTCCACTCAGTCATCAGAGCTTTACCCGTTGGGACAAACATCCAACAGAATCTCTACATGCAGAATTCTGCAGATACATTTTACACATACACAGAAAC